AAATAGCCAACAGCAATAAGCCCCATTCACACACACCCATAGGGCATGGGAGTCACTTCTCTCCATGGTGCAATCTCATACTTCTGAAAAGCATGGGCATTTAGCATGTGGGCAGGACACACTGGGTCCATTCACCAACCAGCAGTGTGGTATCACAACACGATGTAGCAGTTTCCATGGCACTGTGGGTGGCATGTGAAGGGGACCATAGCTTATATCCCCTGGACTAGGAATAGTGAAGTGCAAATGCCCAGTGACATTTTTCTGCCTTCTTTGCAGGTGGAAGCACAAAACTGATATAGGGAAAGAAGGAGGTGGCAAAACCCTCTGGAGGGAGCCCTAATGAGCCACTATCCAAAAAAGTTACCTGAATCTGTTCTCACTTGGGCAATTAATTAAAATAAGGTTACCAGATTTTTTTTCAATGAATCCGGGGACACTTTTCATCTTCAATGGATTTTTTATGGGGACTGATTTGTAAATCCGGGGACTGACCCTGGGAAACGGGGACGTCTGGTAACCTTAAATTAAAAGACATTAAGGGAAATGTCATGGATTACCATAGAGCTCCTGGCCAACTTATGGTATCATGTTTTGTTTCCCCTCGCCCTATTTCTGGTCTTTTATTATTATGTGAGAAAATATACCGATCGTTTGTGACTTTTTTTGCTCACGAACTGTCCAAAAAAGCTGCTGTAACTTTTTGCCCTACAAAGTATTTCACCCTTTTCCTCTTTTTATCTAAAATTCCATTGTGGTGCATGAATTATCTTCACATACCATTACAGTTGTCATCTTGTAGGATGTATCCAGGGGGGCAGATACATCTGTAAGAGCCATCCAGATTTTGACATGTACCAGGTGAACATTTGCCAGGATCCAATGCACACTCATTGATATCTGCAAGAAGATATAAACAAAGCAATCATTGGTTTTCATGTGTCCTAATCCTGCTCATTTTATTAAAAAGCTTACATTAAATTTCAAAATTAAAACAAGGGAGAAGACTCAGTTTCTTAAACAGTGTATGTACTAGGGCAAGGGCCTAGTTACTGTCAGGAAAGATGAGGGATAATTAACTTCCATTAAGCAATTTGATCAAAGATGGTGCTTGTGTCCTTTTTACCTGAACTTGATAAATGTCCTAAGGTGTTATGGGTAGAAGAGTTCCATTTGCAAGATATTTGTAAAACTCAAAAAGAATTGATGATATTACAGTAGTACCTTGGTTCTCAAACACCTTGGTACTCAAACAACTTGGTACTCAAACAACTTGGAACCCAAACACTGCAAACCCAGAAGTAAGTGTTCCGGTTTGCGAACTTTTTTGGAAGCTGAACATGCTCCGTTTTGAGTGTTACGCTTCCGTTTTGAGTGTTATGCCAAGGTCTGTCTGTTTTTGCTATTTATTTTGCGTTTTTGTTTTTGCAGCTCTTTTTTGTGACTGTGTGGAACCCAGTTCAGCTACTGATTGATTGATTGATTGATTGATTGTGTGACTACAGTACATTCTTTATTGCGTTCAGTTTATGAATCAATGGTCTCGTTAGATAGTAAAATTCATGTTACATTGCTGCTTTAGGGGTTGTTTTTAAAAGTGTGCAACAGATTAATCCATTTTGCATTACTTTCTATGGAAAAGCGCGTCTTGGTTTTGGAATGCTTAGGGTTTGGAACGGACTTCTGGAATGGATTAAGTTTGAGAGCCAAGGTACCACTGTACTTTTGTTATGACCAAATTCCCTAATGCCCTAGTGTGTAAGTTTAACAAATAATCTGAAGAAGTGTGCATGCACACGAAAGCTCATACCAATAACTAACTTAGTTGGTCTCTAAGGTGCTTCTGGAAGGATTTTTTTTTTTTTCATTTATTTTATTTTGTTTTGACTACGGCAGACCAACATGACTACCTACCTGTAAATAATACATACGTGCTTAATAATGTGAAGGGCACATTTCAAGAAGATAATCAACCGCATTCTACAGTGTACTGGTTTCTATAAAGATCTGTGATCTCAGCAAAAAAACCACTCTGTATGTCTTCCACACATAGAAACATTGCCAGCTAACTCCTACCATATAGAACAAAACATGGCACTCAAAAGCTGCTGTTACGTTCATGACATACCAATACAGATCCTTCCTTCTCGAGGCATCTCATAACCTTCATTGCAGATGCACTGGAAAGACCCCACATTGTTGACACATTTGCCATTTCTACACAGATTTCCATTTCCAGTGGCGCATTCATCAATATCTAAAAGGAGAAAAAGATAAGAAAAGCAAGAGTTAGGGGAGAGAAACAAAAAAAGGGGGGGGAGGGAACAGAACAGAATTTTCTACTACTTTATTTAATTGTATTGTTGCTTTGATGAATCTGTTGTCGTTTGCTTTATATGCTATTCGGTTTGATTACAATGTTCAAGTTTTTTTTTAACGCTCAGTGATGCTTTTTGTGAGCTGCATTGAGCTCAACATTTGTTGCTGGAAAAGCAGAATACAAATATTAAGTAAACTCAACTCAACTCAGGTTACTTACTGTAAATGTTCTTTCTGGGGAATGTGCAGAAATAAGACAGGGAGAACGAGTAGCTATTAGCCCCCACCATCCAGGCTAGTCTCTGCCCAACTTCTGCCCATAGCAGAGTTGGTCCCAGAGCATGAAGCAAGCATACAGAAATAGAAAACATGAGTAAAGGGGGAAACATATATTTCCTCCGAAGGCAGGCAGAAATGAATGCCAGGACTGGTGAAAAGGGCCTCAGCATTAGATAACAAAGTAGCAACTGCGGCAGCAACTAAAAGCACCTTAAGCCAAACCATCAGTTTGCAAAGTAGCATAGATGTGTTGAGCCATCCAATAGTCTTATTTACTTGAAATGGGAACACCCATTCAGATTTTGGCAGATCCTGTAATGAAATGGGAAAAGGCACCTCTCTTCTTGCAGTCTTAATCAAATAAAAAGCAGAGAGCCTAACCCCCAGGTATCAGGTATATTCAGTGTGGGACGGCAGGCGCAAAATAACACCTTTTGGTGCTTACAAAATGCGATTGCCACCGCCACCATCACCCAAATGACTATGCCATATTTTGACAGAAAACCCTCGACTCTTCAAAAATGGTCATTATTACTGAATTAAACTCCCACAGGCCCCCAATATCTAATGTCCAGCCTTTGGACATAATGTCCAGCCACTTGGACTACTGCAATGCGCTCTCCGTGGGGCTACCTTTGAAGGTGACCTGGAAACTGCAATTAATCCAGAATGCGGCAGCTAGACTGGTGACTGGGAGTGGCTGCCGGGACAACATAACACCGGTCCTGAGAGATCTGCATTGGCTCCCAGTACATTGCCGAGCACAATTCAAAGTGTTGGTGCTGACCTTTAAAGCCCTAAACGGCCTCGGTCCTGTATACCTGAAGGAGCATCTCCACCCCCATCGTTCAGCCTGGACACTGAGATCCAGCGCCGAGGACCTTCTGGCAGTTCCCTCGCTGCAAGAAGTGAGGTTACAGGGAACCAGACAGAGGGCCTTCTTGGTAGTGGCACCCACCCTGTGGAACACCCTCCCTTCAGATGTGAAGGAAATAAACAGCTATCCTATCTTTAAAAGACATCTGAAGGCAGCCCTGTTCAGGGAAGTTTTTAATATTTAATGCTGTACTGTTTTTAACACTTGATTGGGAGCTGCCCAGAGTGGCTGGGGAAACTCAGCCAGATGGATGGGGTATAAATAATAATAATTAATAATAATAATAATAATAATAAATGCTGCTTTTCTACATATCCATCTGAAGGACTGCAGTGCAAATTATGGCAGGCACTGAAATTTAAAGGTGGAGTCAAGTGTGCATACACTGACAAGCTGTGTTCCATTCCAGCCACAAGAGAAGCCCAAAGGCAGCCAGTGTTAGCTTGCAATGGGAAGGGAGAGACCTCCTGCAATCTCCATAGTCCTGGGTCTCTCTTGGCCATGCCACGGCAACTGCTTATAATGCTGGCTGCTGGGGTGGATGGGGAGCAAAGTGGGTTCTCCCAGTCAGGGTGGGGCTCCTCAGAAAGTAGGGACTGCTCAGTGTTATTGCACTCCGTAGAGGAATTATGAAAGGAGAGTTCATTAGAACTCCCCACCCCCACCCCTTTCTGCTTCTCCTTGTACAACTCCTTTCCCCCTATTGGCAGCTCAAGCAGACAGGGAAATAACAGAAACAGAAGGAGGCGAAAGGGAACGATTCAGAAAGGGATCTTAGAAAAACAAAAACGGACAAACAGGAGAAATACAAAAGAGATGAAGAAAAATGTAAACAGGAGCTAGGGGAAAATAACTGGGAGCCAATTTCCAACTAAGACAAAAGATCAAGAAAAGCAAGAGCAAATCAAGGCAGGAGAAAGGAACTAGGTCAGAGCCCCAGGAGCTGGCTAACGAAGTCCAATCTGTGTCACATGACCCTTCCTGTGTCACATGATCACAATAATCCACTGTTTCTGGCTCACTCCTTCACACTCAAGGGAACTAAATAATTTTCAGTATAACATCCAGGAGACTGAAAACAGCCATACTTATTAAAATAGGGCTCCCACCAACATCACAGGTTATAGCGGTACACTTGCTATTTCCCCCTCTAGTACCAGACTCTCCAGATGCTGCCTCTGGCCCTCAAGAAAGGGATTCCTGATTCCAGTTTGAAGAGCTTGCAAATTCATCCTCGGTTGTGGATGGGAACATGTCACAAATCAGAACCAGAATGACCATATTCAGAGGACAGCAAATGTTGCCTATGCTTGTTTCAGTGCTGCTCTGCGGATGGCATGGGGTTTTTTTGTCTTAGAAACTAGCAGCATAAAAACTGGCTTACCATAAATTCCAGTTCCAGAAGCCTAAGCAGGTGAACTCTGCAGAGTTCCAACAGGAACCTGCTTCCTTGACATAAGGCAGCGCCAGCCTGGAGGTTCAGAACCCCTCAAGGGGAGCAGACAATAAGCTAAGTTGTTCTGTCTCCTATTGTGCGGGACAACAAACAATACAAGCAACACGCAGACCAGTATACTAGATAGCACTGTGATAATTATTACATAATATACATGATTTAGTAACAAAAACAAAATGTGTGCACTTGTTTTTGTTACTAAATCATGTATAGTATGCAATAAGAATTACAGTGCTATCTAGTATACTGGTCTGCGTGTTGCTTGTATTGTTTGTTGTGTTAAGTTGGCAACACAGGGGTTTGTTGTTCGCCTATTGTGCGGGAGGCAATCCTCGAAGGATTGGAAATGCTACTAAAGACCTCAAGTATTTGTCTATTTTCTGGTGTATTATATCACGATATTTAGTAGCACCCTATTTCAAGTAGATAAATAGGTACCGCTCCGGTGGGAAGGTAAACGGCGTTTCCGTGCGCTGCTCTGGTTCTCCAGAAGCGGCTTAGTCATGCTGGCCACATGACCCGGAAGCTGTACGCTGGCTCCCTCAGCCAATAAAGCGAGATGAGCGCTGCAACCCCAGAGTCGGCCACGACTGGACCTAATGGTCAGGGGTCCCTTTACCTTTACTATTTCATTATACATAATTACACACGCAGGTAATCCTATGCAGGAACCCACACAGCTGGTAATCTACGCAGATTAATCCGCCCAACTCTAGCTCCTTTCTCACCCAGTTCTGTGCTAGGTAAGTGCGGGAGCATGTGATGGGAGTTATTTCCAGCTTAGAAGCTCCATCTCAGTCTTTTCTGCCTGCTCACAAGGCCAATACAACACCATAATATGACACCATCAATGTTGATTGCTGCCTTCCTCGCCCTTCTCAAGTGGCCTAGTGACTACTATGGTTGCAGTGTGCAAAAACCCGAAGAGACTCAGTTGGCTTCCTTACCTATGCAGTCATTATTGTGAGAAAGGATGAATCCTGTATGACAGCGGCAGTTGAAAGAACCAACTGTGTTCATACACGTGCCATTTCCACACGGGTCTCGTTCGCATTCATTGATGTCTGTGAACAAAAATGAGGAAATCAGAAATGTAATGCTATGCTGGTTTTGATCTTTAAAGCCCTTTGTGGCTTAGGGCCCTCGTATTTACGGGACCGCATCTCCTGGTATGCCCCGCAGAGGACCTTAAGGTCCATGAATAATCATAGTTTAGAGGTCCCGGGCCCTAAGGAAGTCAGATTATCCTCCACCAGGGCCAGGGCCTTCTCAGTGATGGCTTCGACCTGGTGGAATGCTCTGTCCCATGAGACCAGGGCCCTGCAGGATTTAACTTCCTACCGCAGGGCCTGGCTTTCCATTTGAACTTAGCATGATATTTTATTCCTCTTCCTTCCTTCCGCCTCCCCTTTTTATGAAGATTACCCGCTCTGGGATCCCACAGCTAATTCTCCCCTGGTCTCCTCCCTGGCCCAAATAGGACTAATTTAGCCAGCTAGCCCTGGTGATCATCTAATGTTTATTGGATGGATTTTCCCCCTAAATTGATTTTTTAATTCTGAATTTATTGTTATTCATGTTTTATGCTGTATTTTATGCTGTTTTTTTGTTGCATCAATTAAGTGTTTTAAATTTGTTGTTAGCTGCCCTGAGCCAGGTTTTCTGAACCGGGAAGGGCGCGGTATACATAAATTATTATTATTATTATCATTCCATAACTCAAAAGAAACACAAAGCCACTAACACCCACTATCCAAGTTAATATGAGGGGGTTGGGGAGCAGAGTTATTCAGGACCACAGGGTTCCCCCCAAAATAGACTTCCTATGCTAGCAGTCAACATATTGTGTGGCCATCTCATAGCATCACAGAGTTGGAAGGGCCCCCAAGAGTTATCTAGTCTAACCCCTGCACTGCAGGAATGTAATGAACTGATATGGAGAAACTTGTTACCTTGATTAATTAGGGCCCAAAACAGAGCTTTCCTCTTACAACTCAGAAAGGTGAAAATGTAGTTTCATACATACCCATACACATAGTTTGGTCTCCATTGGTTTTGAATCCAGTGTGGCAACGGCAGATGTACCCTCCCTCTATGTCTTGGCATTCTCCATGACTACAAATATTGGGTACCTCTAGACACTCATTGCGGTCTGAAAGTAACAGAAGTTTCAAAAATTACTGCTTAGAAACCAAGTAACTATATGAAGTTGCCCCAAACTAAACCTACCTATTCCTCTGTTTAGCTCAGTGTTTCCTACTCTGATGGACAAATATGGGTCTTTTTCCAGTTCTCTCATCTGAGATACTTTAACTGGATACATAAAATAATCAAATGTGGAATCAAGACCCTCCTTCAAAGGAGATAGATTTGGACTTGCTACTATGGATGGCTGAATCTGTCAATTTTAGTTTCTCTTAATTTCTTATTTTTCCAAACTTGTCAGTTGTCCACATTTCCACATCAGTTTGCAAATTCTCTCCTTTTTTTTTTTTTTTGTCGTCATAAAAATTCATAAACATTTTAGTGTGAATTTCTCCTAATATATACGTTTTATATGCAATATATACATTTTTTTTGGTCGGGGTCCCTTAACCTTTACTATACATTTTTTTGCAAGCAACTTCCCCTAATATAATGCATTGTGTACATATTATTTTTATTAATATATGCACATTTTACCTAGCATGTGCAGTTTTGTACAAATTACTTGGCTGGAGAACAGGATTGCAGAATTCAGAGAAGTATGAATTTGGAAGGTTAAGGATTTATGCAGCCACAAACAACATATTATACCTTTTCCAGTGTGTGTTACTTAAAATGACTCTCTTATCAACTGGCAAACATTACATCTTAATTTCTCTTCCTATGAAAGCCAGAGCAAAATTCAGGGAAGTAATATTTGTGCCAACATACATTGGGGCATTGTTGCTCATATCAGCAGCTGCCCTGGATTTTCCTGTTTCTGTTTCTGTGAAGGCCTTTCAAGAACAATTATGTTAAGCACACTCTAAGTGACTGCATGTACCCAGGCAAAACAAGACATTTATTCTCAAAGTGAAATTTCACTTCTGTGTCTACACCCTTTCCCCACAAAGGCCTTACAAACAATGTAAACATGTACTTTAGGAAAAGGTGCTCTTCCGAAAACCCAACTATGTGGAACAAAAACAGGCCAGGAAAATACTGCTAAAGTCCTTTCTAATGGCGGTGTTATTCAGAAACGTACACCGATCTTTGTACAAATAGGGTTGCGTGTAGCTGAGTTCTACTTGAATTAGATCCATTTAAATTGATAGACCTAAGCTGGTCATGGCCATTAATTTCAATGGGTCACCTCTGGGTATGTTTAACATTCAATACAACTCATTTGGGGTTGGGGAGGGGGCAGCATCAATGTCTCATATAATTGAAATTTCATTAATTCTACTTTGTGTTGCTGTTATGTGAGATGAAAAGAGGTTGACAGCAGCCTTGGAGATTGCTAGTTGCCCTGAGAAAGAAATGGGGCAGAAGAGTTAGAAGTGGCCAGTCTGTTGGACTTAGAGGTCCTTCTCTGTGTTTGGAGGGATAAAACAGACCTTTTCTGTGGCATCCCTCTAATTATGGAATTCCCTTCACAAGGAAGCTTGCCTGGTGCCAACTCTGTCATATTTTCAGCACCAGGCAAAAATAGTTTTATTTTCCCAGGCATCTGAACAGCATTAATGGTGTGGCATCAAGCTGCTGTTTTTGGCATTCCTTCTTTTTCTGGATGGGGTGGATTATCCTTGTTTTTGGCGATTTTGGATGAACGCTTCTAGCACATTTGTACAGCTCTTATTGATCATTTATTATGCAATTTTGTATTTTACTTTTCTTGTAAATTGCTCTGAGACGCCTTTCTGTTGTCTGAAGTCATAAATTTAATAAATTAAACTAAGCCTTCAAATGTGCAGGATCAAAGCACTTGTACAAAAGGGCCTAAAACTGCTTGCACTAAAGAACGTGCTTGTAGTACACTTAGCAAAAGAAATAGCAACTGTGATGGCTAGGTTGTTCTTGAGGTTTCCAGAACAGAAAACACACGATTTAAAAAAAAAGTTTCTCCAGCATCTTCATAAGAGAGAAAAAAATTGTCCACTCATGGACAAAATATAATACATTGCATTTAAAGAAGATATTCTGGTACTCTTTGTTGTTGTTTAGTCATTTAGTCGTGTCTGACTCTTTGTGACCTCATGGACCAGAGCATGTCAGGCACTCCTGTCTTCCACTGCCTCCCGTAGTTTGGTCAAACTCATGCTGGTAGCTTCGAGAACACTGTCCAACCATCTCGTCCTCTGTCGTCCTCTTCTCCTTGTGCCCTCAATCGTTCTCAACATCAGGGTCTTTTCCAGGGAGTCTTCTCTTCTCGTGAGGTGGACAAAGTATTGGAGCCTCAGCTTCAGGATCTGTCCTTCCAGTGAGCACTCAGGGCTGATTTCCTTCAGAATGGATAGGTTTGATCTTCTTGCAGTCCACGGGACTCTCAAGAGTCTCCTCCATCACGTGCTATTAGTACATGTCTTTGCAAAAAAGCAACTTTTTAAAGTCCCTTTAAGTTGCCGTGGCAAAGAAAAAGTGACCAATGCATTTAATATTAACAATAAAAATAAATCAGTGTCGCCATGAATTTCGCAGTAAGGTACACTGGCTGGTAGTACTTACCAACACACCGACCGACTGGTGTGAACCGATAACCAGGTTTGCAATCACAGCGGTAGCTACCTGGTGTGTTGATGCAATCTGCATTTTGTTGACACACATGCCCATTTTGGCATTCATCAATATCTGTTGGAAAGAACAAACAAAATCTTAGGAAGTACGATTGTACCTACCTGAATGGCAGTTTTCCATTCCCAATGAAAGGTCAGCAGATTGGGTCTTGGTTCCACCCACAGATTGAAGGCAGGCAGCAATGTTTTGGGATGTAGGGCTCCCAGGATTCAGTTTGTGAACTCGCAAGCTCATGGAGGTTATGCCATTAAACCTTAATAAATCTAAGGACTATCACTGAGATTACACATTGCACTTCTTGTATACTGTTTAAAAAAATCCTGTAGGTATACACCTAAAAATGCAAGCTGTGTGATTAACAAGTTTGGAAACATTATCATATAGGAAGACTCAGCAGAGAGTCAGGATTGGATGCAGCTCCCTGCAAAGCATATAAAGTGTTTTGTTTTGAGGTTGCACATGCTTAGCTTGTGGTTTTAAGGTAGTAGAAAATCTGTATTTGAGAGTACAGACTGGAAAAGACCCATGTTT